AAAGGCCCTAACCTGAGAGCACCACACTTCCTCGTGCCACCGCAGGATCGGGGAGACGGCCCCAACCCAAGCAGGGTCCCCCTCGAGGTGGGAAAGCACAGTCAGGGAGCGCTGGCCAGCTGAAGGCTTTATAGTCCTGGCCGCCGCACGACGGATGAGCAACAACTCGTAGTCTGTAACCCCTCTAACCTCGCTGCCATACAGCAGGCCAGGGAGCGGTCCTGCAGTGAAAACTCGCAAAGTTCTCCTGGAACCGAGGGTCTTACGAAGTTTGGCCACACGGCCCGTGCGTTTGAAGAAAAGACGCCTCCTAATCACGAGCTTTTTGTTACGACCCTGGGCCCGAGAACTCTTCCCCACCGTGTCGTCAACCCCAAGGTTAACAGCACTGGAAGTAATAGGTCCCGTGAGCTCAACTCCCAGTTTGGCCTGTATGGCCCTGCCAAGCTTGGCCGAGGAACAAATAAGACTGGATTTGTCAGCCGCCACCTGCGCACCAATGCCATCAACAATGGCTGCGTGGAGCTGGGGCGCGCCTTCCGTGATGGCGTCCACAACAAAATTGAAACTGCCGACAGCACTGAGCCCAGAATCGTCGATGTAGAGCGCCAGTTGAGCACCCTGCCGTAACCTAACAGAATCGAGCGACTCCACAGCATTAACCCTGATCAGGGTCGTGGCCAACGAACACCCCGCAATGATGCCCGAAGAAGCGTACCAAGGACCGTCGATGCAGCCACCAAGGGAAAGAAACCTCGGGGCCCTGTAGGCCCGCACGGCCAACTTGGCCATGGCAACCGGAAAACCCAATCTCAAGCACCGATCTAGGAGTCGCTCGAGATCAATGAGCTCGTAGTATTTAAACATGTCCTGCAGGAGGGTAGCCGCGTGTAAGTTGTGAGTGGCCCCACTCTCGCTGCGGACGCTCTGCCGCCACACAACGTCGGACGCCCCCTGGTACTTGCCCGCAGCAAAGTAGGGACGAGCGTGCGCCCCCTCCCAGCTCTCGGCAAGGCACCGCCGCGCTTTCCCCCAGATGCGGTAGGGACCCATGAAAATACCAATAGGGCGGAACCCTCCAGCAGGTTTCCCCAGGAGAGCCAACACCGTGGCATCGAGCTGAAAAGGCAACATGCTGGAGATTTCCATGACCTGCAGGATCCTACACAGCGCCGTGACCCCAGGAAGGGAAATCATACTGAAGTGTTTCATGTGGAAACCGTCCACACCCACCGCCGAATTCACCTTGTAGCTTCTCGAAAGACGAACCAACTCGTTGGGGTCCAAAGGGGGGAGCTCAGGGGCAGGAACGAAATCGGCAATAGGTCCCACCTCAAACGGGGAGCCAAACGCGCGCCACAAATGGGTAAACTTGTTGCGTTCAGCCTCGAGCAGGGACCTGGGGTCACTAACCACACAGCCGTTGGCCGAGAGAGTGGACGTAGGTTTCCAGGGCTTGGGTTCAGAAGTGACCATGTGCGCTCGCTTGGCCCCCTGATCAATGTTCTCTCTCAGCCAACTACGCCAGGAAGCTAAACTGCGGTCCCTAGCGCTGGCTTCAGACTGCGCGACCAGATCAGAGACCAAGAGATACAGATCGAGAAAGTCATGCTCGAGCTCTCCGCTCGAGTTCAAATCAGCATGGTTGATCATGGACTGCAGAGTGATGAGCAAGTCCTTATGGGCACCCAGATTCTCAGCCACAAACGGGGGAGGGTGAAAAATGTACGACCTCAAGGCCCTCGCAAAATCACCTCCACTGTTCTTGGCCTTTTGGGGATGGGACGAAAAATACACCTTGCAGTCCAAGATGCGATTATACAGCCACCTGACAGAGTACAGAAAGGGGTGTCTAAGAGGTTCCTTATCCTTCGAAAAAACAGGCTTCCACACAAGCTGTGGGCCCTTGCCTCTCGAACCCCAAACTGGCAGAACCGATTGCGTGGCGTTGGCCACCTCCACTTCAGCAAGGTTGGCCCACCACTTGTAAGTAAGATTGAGCAGCCTTTGAGTTTCAGCCCCCCTCCCCGCCCTGGCAGCTGCCAGAGCCGCTTCCAGCACATCGAGAACAGGGTCCCAAGAAGGGGGTTCCCGAGTGGGCCCGATGGCCCTTTGGGGGGGAAGGGGGGGAGGTTTACGAAATTCCAAAAACGTTGAGTTGAGCAGGCGAGGGGAAAAGCTCCAGATCCACAGGGGAGTGGGGGGTGAGAGGGGAATTGTAGTTAACACTCACCTTACTGATAACCTTCGCGATGCCTGCCGAGACGACAAAGAAATCTGAGACTTTGAGGCCCCCCGTGCTGCGGAGCGTGTAGCCTCCGTCTGTCGGGGTGATCATCTGGCCTTTGAACTCCGAAACGAAATGCGACTTCTGAAACTCACCTGGAGTCATGTTGAAGTCGCCTCCCGCGATGACAGGGAGATCTGAATGTGAAAGTCCAGCTCCGAGACGCGACAAGATCTCCACGTTGCGCTCAGAAAGACCTTCGACGTCGTGAAGGTAAATCGATCCGACTAGGACCTGAAAACCTCCTGGAATATCTATAACACAAGCTCCAGCACGATGAGGGGACAGTACGAAGCCTGACGACAAAGTGTGAAGCCCGAGGTACGATCTAGCAATAACAGCAACTCCTCCTGAAGACCCAGTGCCCTCCCCACGAGCGGCCGCCGCCCAACACGACTTCCACCCACGACGAAAGAGCCATTCTGAAGCCTTGGAGATGTCTTCCTCTGAGCACAAGTGATGTTCTTGAACTAACAAAACGTGTGCCGTGGTCATTGGCAGCCACTTGTTCTTAAGTGACAGCCATCCTGAAACATTGCAAGTCTGAACACAGAGCCCGAAATTCTCCAAATCAGGAGGAGGAGGGGGGTGGAGAGAGCCTTCTACAAGCACTCCCTCGGCCACATCCTGGCTGAGGAGGGGAGACGAGCCAGCCGACATCAGCTGAGGTAGGCTAGGAAGGAGTCCGAGGAGCAGGAGCCTCGGTAGGAGTGGCAGCAACCGTCCTGGCCCTCTTGGCCGCTGCCTCGATGAAAGTCGAGACGCGCTGCCTCGATTCACTCGAGACCTCCTCCGACTGTGCCTGCTGCCACTCATGTAAAAAATTCTGGAACGCTTCTGAATCCGCAGCCTCGACCTGAGGCATTGCTTCATCAGAGTGAGCAGATTCACCCGTCCCCACCCCAGCCTCGCCACCCGTCCCCCCACCACTGCCAGAAGCAGCAGGAGCAGCTCCACTGCCTGCAGCCTGCCCCTGGGCGACGGATTGGCAGCTGGTCTTAAGCTTGGCCCAGCCCTCACGAATGGCGGCCAGGTCGCCAGACTCCAGTACGCTGTCGAAGTTGGACATGTGCCCCTAGAGCTCCGCCTGCGGCGGGGGCGGGAGGTCGGCCACCTTGGCCGCCAGCTCCAGGTACCTCGCCTTGAGCTGCACCTGCTGGGTGGCGGTCTCCGTCCTCTTCTCTTTGAGCTCCGCGAGGCGCGACTCGGTGTCTGCAATCTGGGAGTCGAGCGAGTTGAGAGCGCGCACATTCTTGTCAAGAGCCTGCTGAGCCTCGGAAGCCTGCTGCCGAAGTGGACGAGCTTCAGACTGCTGGGAACGAATAGCGGACGCCGACGCCGCGATGGAGCTGGCCACCGCTGCACGCTCTGGGAAGTCGTCCTTGAGCTGGCCCATGAGCAACTGAAGCTGGGCGAGGAGCGAAGACGGATCTGCTGGATGGGCCAGAGCGCCTCCACGACCGCCTGGTCCGCCCCCGCCGCCGCCGCCTCCGCCACCCCCAAGCCCGCCTTTGCCACGTCCACCTTTGGGTCCTTGACCTTTGTGAAACCCTTTGGGGCCTGGAACTGCAGGACCACTTTGCCACACACCCCCAGGATCACGTGGAGCGCCAGGAGAAACATGCGGAATGGGAGCCCAACAATTCGCACACCATTTGTACCACGGTTTGTTGCACTTCGCAGCGCCACACGAGAGACATTTCGCACCGATGACCTCATGCTGCTTCGGTCCCATGGGAGACACTGCGAAAGAGTGCTGACTGTCTGAACGAGCCACTTGACCCGCTAGCGCAGTGTGCCGTTCTGAAGTATACGCTAGCAAGCCCAAAACACTTGGGCCAGAACGGCTAGCAGGAAGAGGAGGAGGAGGAGCAGGAGGAGGAGGAGGAGCAGGAGGAGGGGTTGAACCAGAAGCCAGGACTCCACAGGCGAGCCAACGAGGACGCAAGGGAGGAAGAAGGCCCGATTCACTGAGGAATCCCACCGGCCCTTTTGGGCGTAGCTGGTTCAGGGCACGTCCGCTTCCTACCCCTTCTTCCGCCTCCAAGGCGCCCTAAGAGGCCACCGAGAGCCCCCCAGGAGACATCCCAAGCGACTCGGAGAGGCACCCAAGAGGCCTCTGGTTCACTGAGGCTCTCCGAGGTATCTAAAAGATGCCACGCTACACCGAGAAGGGTAGCTCCCCTGGGCATCGTTCCTGGATGGACTGGTGGGGATACGCAAAGCGTTAGAATTACACTCAGCGGGGAGAGTCCAAACATCTTACTTCAGGTGGGCTCTCTGATCAGGACCTGTTGAAACGAAGCAAATGCAGCGTACATTGCAAACGCCTGGACACAGCACGACGAGGCGATGCTGGTTTCGGACATTACACCAGCAAGGCACGACGCAGGGCGGAAACAGCAGACTGCCTCGTGGACGAGACCCACCAGGTCACGAGGCACGGGAGCGAAAAGCCGACCCACGAATCAAAGCCATACGCTGCGCGTCCGCCCGGGGGGGGGGGGGCAACCTTCTACACTACACCCGTCACTTTCGAGTGTCAGCTGCCCAGACTGAGAGAGCGCACGACCACGCCAACTCCTGGTCTGCAGCGCTGGCGGTCGCAAGCGCGTCCGTGGTCCGGCGGGGCGCGTCGGGCACGGGGAACGCTTGAGACGCGTGGACGGGGCGGCCGCAGAGGGCGTCCACATGAACACGCCACCCGCGATGCCTAGACGTCAGGGACGAGGCCGTGGCCGCGCGCTTCGAGGGGTCCTGGTTGTACTTGCACTTCACCTATCGAAGGGCGAAGAGAATTTGGCCTCCTCCTCTCCTCCTCCTCCTCCTCCTCCCTCTCCCCCCTCCTCCTCCCTCCTCCTCCTCCTCCTCCTCCTCCTCCTCCTCCTCCCTCCTCCTCCCTCCTCCTCCTCCTCCTCCCTCCTCCTCCCTCCTCCTCCTCCTCCTCCTCCTCCTCCTCCTCCTCTCCTCCTCCCTCCTCCCTCCTCCTCCTCCTCCTCTCTCCTCCCCTCCTCCTCCTCCTCCTCCTCCTCCTCCTCCTCTCCTCCTCCTCCTCCTCCTCCTCCTCCTCCTCCTCCTCCTGTCTTCCCTCCTCCTCCTCCTCCTCATCCTCCTCCATCTTTCCTCCTCCTTCCGCCTGCTCGGCCCCTGAGCACGAGGACGTGGCGGCCTCACGCGGAGGCCTACGCGGGCCGCCGAGGCGGTAGACCACGTGATGGCACCCACGCGAGGCCCTGCGCGGACTGCTCGCGTGCGAGCGGCCCAGCGCAGTCGGCCCCGCTTGCTGCCGTGCCGCTCGCCTGCCCGCCGTCGTGCAGCTCGAAGAGGAGGTAGCCCCCGAACTTGGGCGGCGGCAGGTTGAAGCCCAGCTTCGCGGCCAGCGCCATGACGGTGGTGTCGTGGCCAGAGAAGAGGACCACCCGCTTCGGCCTGCGGAAGCCGGCGGACTCGGCGTGCGGACCTGCACTCTGCGGGGGCCCAAGGACACACGAACAAATATCTCCATGGAAACCGACGTTGAATTGTGTCTGCGTGTTTTTCCCCTCCTGACATTCGTCAATCCACCACCAACACCACCAGGCGGCCACAGCGAGGAAAGCACATCCCAGCAGGGCACCGCCACAGCGGACGTAAAAAGGAGGAACCACCAAACATACGAAGAGAGATCCGCCGACCACCGCTTGCCGGGTTAGCAAAGGCCCCCTCCCCTGGGGTCTGAAATCCGATCAGAGGAGGGGGGGGCCAGGGGGGGCTGGGGGGGGGCCCAGCGGGGGGCTCGGAGGGGGCCCGAGGGGGTTATCTGGCCTCCTCAACGCTCCCCTGTGGCCTCTGGAGCCTCCACTTCTGCACTCCATGGCCTCCAAGATGCCCAAGGTTCCATCTAAATGAACCTGCTCAAGCTGGGCTCCAACACGCCAAGGAGGCCTCAAAAAACAACCACCGACAGTTCCAAGAGTACCCCAAGAGGGCCCCAACAGGCCAAAATCGCCCCAATTCTTAAGGAAAGATTTCACTGATTAGCATGATCACTCGACTGCGTCCAAAGCGGCCCAAGAAGCCCCCAGGATCGCTCCAGGACTGCCCAAGAGGTCCCTAAGGACTCCAAGACGGCCCAGGGGAGCCCCAGAACGGCCCAAAGGGCGCCCAAGACGGCCCAAGAGGGCCCCATAGAGCCTCAAGAGGGGCCCAAGAGGGAGAACTCGAACTGACATTTTGAGTCCTCCGCCCAAAGAGGACCCCCGAGACTGCCAGCAGGCGCTCCACAGACCCCCAAGAGGCTCCAAGGGGCCCCCGAGAGGCCAGAAAAAGATCCGCCGATCCTCGATGAGCCCCTCGAACGATTCCGAGAGGCAAACGGCCCCACCCGTGGACGTTGTTCTCCCCTGGGGGGCGGCGGAATGGCGTCAGCCACTTGTTTTCTTATGTATGCTTTAATTGTTTGCTTTATTTGTTTTTAGCCACTAAATACACACTGAGCGGCTTGAATAAGGAACATTTCCTTTTCCAAAGGGGCTCGGTCGTTCCTTAGGCTTGCTTGCGTTACTCATCATTCCTTAATGCGTTATTTGGTATAGATCGTTGCTTCTGCGTTACTCCTTGGAAAAATCAGGGGCTTGGTTCCTTATTTATCGTTCCTTAGGTCAGGCCGATGACTGTGTATATATATATATATAAAAAAATGGCGTCAGCCACTTGAATACCAAGGGACGGGCCCAGCACATCTGCAACCGGTGGCAGCATCAGCGGGGCCAGCCAGAACGAACGACTTCTAGGAAAGTGCATGAGATCCGCTGCGAGACCTCTCTAGGAAGCCAAGGCCGTGCGCGCTCCATGGGAGCAGTTTCCATCCAGTCCACAGAAGTCGAGGAAGCAAAAACAGGATGATCCTGCGACGCACCCAAGCCATTCTGAATATTGGTCGGTTACACTCAGGAAGGCTCAATGCAAACGAGCATCAGGAAAGACCCGCACTTTGCAGCCCCCCAGGGAGCTGCGAGGTTTCGGCTGGATCTGCGCACCACCCCACTCCGCGGTGCCTCCCAGGAGCCCATAAAAGTGACGACAGCTGCGCACATCGACCCCCCCCCCCAGGGAGCAGCAGGGTCTCGGCTGGATCTGCGTACCACCCCACTCCGCTGGGCCTCCCAGGAGCCCCCGAAAGTGGCGACGGTTGCGCACTTCGCAAACCCCCAGGGAGCAGCGAGGAGGAGGAGGAGGAGGACGAGGAGGAGGAGGAAGAGGAGGAGAAGGAGGAGGGAGACCACAGCGCTGTATTCAAAACGAGAATCCAACACAGGAGGACTGAAAAATGACAACTAGCGAGCCACAACAACAATCATTTTAATGGTCTTAGTTCTCCATGGCTAGCGTGTCATTCTACAGCAATACCCCACACCCTCGATACCCGCCCTCTTCGTCTTCGATCGTAGCCCCGTCGGGGGTACCTCTTCCGTGCCTGCCACGTGTCGTTCACGCGGCCACTACCAAAGGAGAGGGGGGAATACACAGGAGAAGGGAGAGAGCAGGAGGAGGAGGAGGAAGCGAGACGGGAGGGGGTGGCAAGAGGAAGGGAGGAGAACCGAGGGCGACGAAGAGTCAATTCGCAGAAGGGGGGAGGAGAGGGGAGCGAAATGCCTCGGCAAGCGGGCCCTGGCGGGCGGGCGGGCCTCCAAAGGTCCGGCAGGGCGGGCGGACCCTCACGGGCGGGACATCCGCGCGGGCGTGCAGGCCTCCGAGCACCCCACCGCCCGGACCCTCACGGGCGGGTCGAGCGGGCGGACCCTGCCGGACGGGCGGGGCGGAGGAAATTCTGCCGGGTCGGGCGGGGCATCGGCGCGGGCGCGCGGGCTTGCGAGCAGGCGAACCGGTGGACCCTGACGAGCGGGTCGGGCGGGCGGGTCCCAACGGATGGAGACGCCGCCAAGGGGGTCAGGCGCCACCCAAGAAGTCCACATGCACCTCCGGGAGTTACCCACGCAGCTTGTGCTCCGAGGTGGTGCACGTCTCGGCTGCACGCAGGAAGGGCCCTGGGGAAGAGAAACCCTTGGCGCGCAACTGTCGGGGAGGCGTGGCGGGGTCAAACCAGAGCCTGCAAGCCGCTGCTATCACATCGCACTCAACCGTCTGGGGACCCCCGTGGCGCGCACCGAAGGCCACTCCAGCGAAAAAGGTCTCTCTCCAACGTGTGGCCGCATGCTTCTGCCCACAGGGACTCTCGTCGCTGGACGCGCTGGCGCCGCTCTTGCTGCTCCTGGACCGCTGCGGGGGCCCCATCCCCGGGCTCACGGCGGGGCTCTCCACGTCGGGCTCGCCGTCGCTCGCCGCCGCCTCCGCAATGCGGCCGAAGCGCCGCTGCCGCAGGGTGCCGCCCGGCGTCTTCCAGGCCTTCGCGCCGTCCTCCATGCAGGCCATGTGCCACCAGATGAGGTGGGCCAGGTTGCTCGCGGCCTCCCTCCCCACGGACTCGTCGAGGCCGGCGGCGGCGTGGAACCTCGGGGAGGGCAGCACGGCGGAAGCACGTCGACTGTCGGAGCTCCGCGCGGCCGTCTCGGATCGGCGCCGGGCCCCCTCCCCGGCGCCAGGGGCGGCTCCCCAGGCGCCGCAGGGGTCACGGGCGCCGACCCAAGAGATCCGCGCGGAGCTCCGAAAGTCTACACAGTACGGGACCGTCCACGAGAGACCTTCCACAAGAAGCCCAACCCTGAGACCCCAGGACGCCCACTGACTTTTGGTGTGGGAACGTCACGCTCTTTCCATCGCAAAACCGTCGAAACCCAAGAAACCAAGGGCACCCTGGAGGAAAGCAGGGTGTTTCTTGGCATGGGCCTCCACTGTAGGCGTGACGCTTCTGTTTCCCAAAAAATCCAAAATATTCAAAAATAGTTTCTTTAAAAACTCCCCATACTATGTTCTGACTATTGTTGAATATTCCCCCTGTAGAGGGACAGACCCGACTTACGTCTATACGCATGACGTTTCTTCTCTCCCTGAGAACCAGTGCCTCTTCTGCTCCTGCGCCACCGCGTCGATGACCCGCAGCTCGTCGCAAGACAGCGAGAGGCCGCCCTCGTTAGGGATCACGGCCATGCCGTGCGCCCTGGCGATCTCCACCTGCATCTCTGTTTGTTCCAGTGCATTCTCGGGAGGCCTCCTGCTCCTCCTTCTCCTCCTCCTCCTCCTCCTCCTCCTCCTCCTCCCTGAAAAAGGCTGAGGAGAATGAAGCGCGACGAATCTCTGCCATGCCGAACGCAAACACCTGCCACGACCCCGGACTCGGGACTCGGGTCGAGGGGGGGGAAAGGGTAAGAGGAGGACGAGGACGAGGAGGAGGACGAGTCGAGGAAGAGGACGCGCCGAGGACGAGGGGCGATCTCCACCTGCGTCTGCACGTTCCTCAGGGCCGTCAGGCGCTTGTGCAGGGTGCGGCCCTCCGCGGGCTCCAGCGCGGCCATGCTGGTCATGCGCCACAGCTTGTCGGCCAGGTCCGCGCCGCCCCTCCGGGGGTCCTCCGCCAGGCTCCGCAGCAGGGGCGCGGCGAGCGAGCTCCTCGCGGAGGGAGAGACACAGTCGGGGCGTTGACCTGAGGAACCCTGAATCAGGAACGAGGCCCCTATGTTCCATACTTCGAACTTCGATTTCCCATCGAAAACCTGGGGAAAACCTGAGGGGAACTGCGAGACCATCAAGGAACACGGAGCCCCTCCCCAACGAAAAGGGTTCCTTCTTCAGGGCCCCGACTGTAGCGGCACACACACACACATCGACGTGCGGAAGTCCGCGGGGCCTTCTCGGATCGGCGCTGTACCCCCCTCCCTGGGGCGCGGAGCGCGCCGGGGGCGGCGCCGGAGCCGCCGCCAGGGGGCCCCAGCGCCGATCCGAGAAGTCCGCGCGGAGCTCCGAAATTTCAGGTTGGTGCAGTGTTGTCTCCATCGACCTCTGCTGCCACTGCTTGAACTCGTCCCTCTCCTTTCGGGGAGACGCAAGGCTCGGGTTTGGGGTACTCGGGATGGCCTGACGGTGCCGTCAGAAGAACGACGAGACAGAATCCGAAATTCGACGCGAGCATCCGCTGCAAACATCCGACGAAAACTGGACCGTCAAAATTCAAGATCGGCCCGTCAACAAGAGCAAGCAAACCCGAATTCCAACGAATTCGCGTCCTACGCTTCCCCGATCCTTCTTGGGCAGCGACTCCCACTGCCGCAGCAGGCGGTCCGCCTGCGCGTCCTGCACCACGATGGGCACGCCCATGGTGCTGCCGCTGCCCGCGGTGCCGTAATAGTTCTGGCACACCTGCGCGCAGGAAGACTGGCATCCACTGCCGGGACAGATGCTCGTGCGGTTTGATCTGATGTTGGGACCTCCTACCCCTACGACGATGCCTAGCCCGAGCCGCCCCGATGCGCAAGACGCAGCCCGTAGCGTGTTGACACGGAGGTCAAGACGTGGACTGCAAACGTAGGTCTGGCGCGGCACGTTCGCCCACACGTGGGCCAGCACGCGCCGTGCCAACACGCAGCATGCTAACACGGAGGTTTTGAGCCCGGCGCGTGCTGCTGGACAGGTGGCTTGCGCGCTCCCGCGGAGCAGTTCGCCTCCTCCCGATGTGCAGTTCCGCTACTTTAGTAGTGGAAACAATCGGTTTTCAATATGTTTGGTCTTTAGAAGCTCTGCGTGGCGACGCCCCCGTCGCCACGCGTGCCCTCTGCGTGCCTGCGGGGGCGCCGCCACGTAGAAGTACTGGAGACCGAGCATTTGGGGCGTCGCTACGCACGCCCTCTGCGTGGCTGCGACCATTTGTTAAAACCCTAAAACCAATTAAATTCACTAATCAAGTACCTCAAGACTGGGAATTACTCCGCCGAATCCTGAATGAAAAATGGGGCGGGGTGCAGGTCCGCGCGGAGTCACTTCGACTCCAACCTCTCCGCCTACTCCGCCAGTCGTCAGCCGCGTCTCATCCAGACAGCGTGAAACTTCTTCCAGGGGGATGGAAACCGAAACTTCCAAAGGTCCGCCCGAATTCTTGAGTCTCGCTGGCCCCCCCTCACTTGTGCACGGAGCGCGCCAGGGTAGCGCCAGACGCGCCGCCAGGCGGGTACAGCGCGGATCCAAGAAATCCGCGTGGACCTTCGAACCTGTAGGCTTTAGCTGGCTTCTCTTCATCGAGCGCCTGCTGGTAGTCGAGCAGGACGCGCTCGCTCTTCGAGCAGATGTGCCGCGGGACGTCCGGCAGGAGGCCGTGGAGCATCGACCAGGCCGAGAAGAGCGTCCGCTGGAAGTTGGAGCAGTAGGCCAGCACGTGGAGGCCCACCTTCTCGGGGGGCACCCCGTCCAGCAGGCCGTAGTGGCCGAGGTAGAGCCCGTTCAGGTCCTCTCAAGGGGCCCCAGGACACACAAACAAGTTCACACAAATCCCAGGATTCCCCTCGTCTCCACGTATTTCCTGAACTTTCGTATCCCCTCACGCCATATGTTCCTGGTTTTCGGGGGAATCGACGATTGATTGTGTCTGTGGCACCACACCGCTCACCCTCCGGATCTTCGCCTCCGGCTCCTGTCCAAGGTGTTCCTTTTCCTGTGCAAGCTCCTCGGCACCGCCTGCACCCTGGCCCGCCCTCCGGGCCGCCTGCGGCCCCGCCCGCCCTGTGCTCTGCCTCCCCAGTGAGAGCTGCGCGTGGCCCCCCTAGCTTTTCACCGGAAGAGGCTCGCTCTGGCCCCGCGGACCAAAAACCGTGCCTGTGCTTTCCCAGGCTGGGCTAACGGCGATGTCAACTAAAGGTGATGTTGGGAACCAGATTGTGGGAAATACCGAGCCACACTTTTCTACATCTCCTATGTGCGAATGGATCGAGCGAACACGGCACAGCGAAATGTAGGAAAGCTCGAGCCACGCGTGCCCACAATACCAGAACCTACATCGCCGTTACCTACATCGCCGTTGGCCCGTCTACGGGCTTTGTCCCCTCCCGATCCTCTCCCACGTCGACGACCGAGGAAGATCGAACCGCACAGACATGAGCTCTTGCAGCTCCGCGCGGAGCTGCGTGGGCCTGCGCCGGGCACACCCCGTTGCGGCGCCTCGGGCGCCGCCCCTGGGCGCGCTCCGCGCGCCAGGGAGAGGGGCCCAGCGCTAGGTCGGGCATGACCCCCTGCAGGCGGACCTTGGACGAACAATACCTTTTTACAAACAAAAAAACGAAAAAGACCCCAA